CCTGAGCTTACAGGCATAAAGCAATCACTAAAAATCAGCAAAAGGCCACCACTGTCAGAAGGAATAATCATCTCGGATGCTGCAGCTCCATGGGAGGCAGCAGCAAAAGCGTTTCCAAAGTGGTTGGTTTTGATACTGTTTTGCATCATGCCCTTTGTGCCAAAAATAATGTAAAAATGGAAAGCAGCAAGAAGTTGTTCAAAGTTGTGTCACTGTGTCTGTGAAATGCTAATCTCATGTGGTGCTTTGTATCTACCTGCTGCCACTAATTTCGTCATGTGGCATGCAGTGTCTGAAGGTAGAGTAAAATTATCTTTAGTATGACATTTAAAAAAATTGGACCAGATCTTTGCTGAGGTAAATCAGTGTGGCTGCACTGACTTCAAATTATTCCCCAAACTACACTGATCTCTGCTCTGTGAAGACCTGATTAGGTAATACTATTCATTTGTTCAGAACAGGACTGCCTACTATATATATTTATTTTAAATTTCTGACAGACTTGAGTCATACATGAAAATCAGTTTGTTTGGTTTTTTTTTCCCCCTCAAGCTATTTCTGCATTTTCATGGATGGATTTGTATATGCAAACGGTTCAGGCTGAGCGAGCTGTCCAGCCATGCAATTGTAATCACTTTCTTCAGGCTTTGGAAGCTCCTGTCACGTGTGAGAAGTCTGCAGCTCGGTTGTAGTTTTATTAGCTGTATAATTAAAGAATTCTGTCTCCGCGTATTTAGAGGAAAGAAGTGTTTTTTTCTGAGCTCCCTCTGGAGGCAATTGAGAGCACCGTAAGTCAGGTTCCTGCTCCGACTCACCCTTTAAGGAAGCTTTTATTCATTATAAAAATGAATAAAAACAACTAAACAGTAGTAAAGGTATTTCTTACTCTACAAAAAGTGGAAAAAATGTCCCTTAGCTGTCACATTGTGCTTGACTGGTATAGCAAACAATTTTCTTCGAGATGAGATTATCAGACTGTGCTGTTATATCACTTCTTAGTTACGTATACAGCAGGTCCCAATGAAGCGACCCAGAACACTGCTGCATTTGGATGCATTACCTAATTCCCACTTTTTCCAAAATAAAAAGCTACTAACACTCCTTAAGCCCCTCTTAATTTTTAAAAATTGTAAATATCTTTCCTCATATATTCTCAAGGCCCTACTCATTCTTTCTACTTTTACTTTCATGAAAATAATCCTAAATAGGATGTAGATCCTTTGATAAATGAGCATAGGTTCTCCACTCTCCCACCCCAAAAAGCCAAAATCCTACTTAACTTCTTCTCTCATGGACTACTATTTGCAAAACACTTTAATGCTAAAATAGAAGCTGTCAGCCAATGCTGATGTAAACAACAGGAGCCAAAGCAAAAAAACAGTTCACAGAAGAGACGAGACATGGATCTCTAGGCCAAAACAAGACCCTGGGCTAAGGCAGACCCACACCCAGATCAAACAGAAGTCGACATCACCCCATGGATGGATCCCCGGGTTGAAATATCCAAGAAAGGGAAAACCCCAAAGCCTTACACAGTAACTGCAACCAGCCTGCAAAGGTGAAAATATCATGCTAAATGATGATATTGCTACGACATGATGCTATCCCAGCTCTGGGAAGACATGAACAAAGACTGGGAATTGCTCCTATTTACTCATATTCATTTGGGTGATGCTTCCAATGCTTCCGGCTACAAAACTCATTGAAAACTACTTTCTTTTTTTTTTTTATGACTTCATCGGTAACTGTTACATAATAAAAGGGAAGTGATGCATCTTACATTTTTGTCACAGGGTCATCTACTGCAACATCTGTTTATTTTTGAAAAGAGCACAAAGATTCATTAGGGATATTATTAACCAACTGAGAAATTTGATTTTTAAGTAGTAGCTCTCTCTTACAGCAGCCAGGCTAATTAAAACTTTTTTGTGGGGTTAAAAGGAGTCTCAAGGCTGCTTTTTCTTCACACGTGCCACAAGAAGGCCCTCTGGCATCTTGAACGTGGTAGCACTTGTCAATATTTAAGGTCGTCTTTTTTTTTCCCCTTTTGGATTGCCAAGGTGACGTTTGTGCCCTAATTTGGAGGGAACAAGGTAGAAAGAACCACGGCAACTGCAGGGAGCACTCGCCTCACCTTTCGAGATGATCACAGAGACGCATGCTTTCTGCCGGTGCCTCCTCTCACCTCCACACCTGCGAATCCCACTCAACGCGAGCACGTCGCTGGTGCTGCTGAAGTCACCGTTTCTGCGAGCGGCCGTCGACCTCGCCACGCCAGGCTGGGGCGGAAAGGCAAATGCCCAGTCCCGAGATGCTGCTGGCTGCAGACCGCAGCACCCTGGATATCGCGGTTAGCGTCCTCCTATCCTCACACCGGCTGCAGGTTACATGTATATGCAGCTGTGCATGTGCATATAGGCAATTACTCAGCAATGTGCCTGGTAATAGGGAGAGCGTGCTTCTGGTAATGGAGCAAAAACGTGGGGGCCATCAGATGAGCATTAACAGCTCCTCTTGAATTCAGGAGCAGGGTTTTGCAGAGCGCTGGCAGGAGGGAGGGATTCTTTCCAAATTCCAGTCTCTACAAACCCAGCTGCTGATGGGGAAGTTGCCTGAACAGAAGAGGACATCAGGTCTAAGTGTCTACTGCTGAAAGGCCAAAGCCCAGTTAAAAGCACTTAGGAGTGAGCTGAAATCTTCACCTGGCCAGCTGAGCACACCAAGCTGGCTTCCGCAAGTTTTAACCATCTTTCCTGATCAGAAATGCATTTCTCTAATTTACGCACGCCAGCTTTCAGGATGGAAAGCTGTTCAGAGAGAAGAAAACCGCTCCCGAGCCCCCTCCTTGCCCACAGCCTCCTTCCTTGCCTTCAGGGAGCTCGCCTTCGCTGCTCTGCAGGCAGCCACGGCCTCACCCCAGTCCCTCGCGGCGCCAACGGGGCGGCAGCAGCACCGCGCAGGAGCACACTGCCCAGCACGCA